AGGAGAGAATTTAAAGATAACAATGCAATTATTACATAGAGAACAAGGAAAATGAGAAACAAGGAAAGGTCATTTGGGCAATTAAAAGGTCGCTGGTGAGAACAGACTTGAATGGTTTCAGTAGACTGCTGAGAATGGAGATAAGACTAGAAGAGGTTAAGGAGTAACGAGGTGGTTAATAAATAGGAGAAGCAAGTGAGAGGGGATGATGGAACCTAAAGGAAGAAACAATCCTAATATTTAAAGCCCATCACCAAAATTCTTTGGGCTATAGAATACTTCATTTCAACATCCATCTCCTTACATTTCTGCTCCAAGGAGCTAGGGACAGAATGAGGAGAAAATATAGACCCTGTCCCTACTCTCTTAGAGCTCACGGTCAAGTGAGATGGTAAGATAAAACAGAAATGCAAAGCAAAAGGTTAAGAAAAAGAAGAAAAAGGAAATAAAAAAGACAGTTATAAAATTAAAAAACAAGGATAAAAATGGAAACCTTCCAAGTTATTTTTTTAATCATGATCCTTATTCCAAGCAATAAAGATAAAACGTGTACATACACACACACAAACATAAGACCATTTTATTTATGAGTATATGTGCAAAACTTGCATATAAAGTACCAGCAAAGTGAATCCAACAGTACATAAAAATAATAATATGAATAATATGAAATATGGTTTATTACAGGAATATAAAGATATTTCAATATAATTAAACCTAACCACATTATTCATCACATCAGAGCAGTAAAGGAAGAAAATATTGTGTTTATTAACAAACAGCAAAAATACTTTTGAGTAAATTCAATTTTTAAAAACAAAATGAAAAATCTCTTAATAAACTTGAAATAGAAGGATGTTTCTTCATTAAGATAAAAAATGTTACTTAATCCAGGGAAATTTATAGCAATACAGGTCTACCTCATGAAGAAAGAAAAAATGTTAAATAAACAACCTAACCTTATACCTAAAGGAGCTAGAAAAAGAACAACAAGCAAAACCTAAAGCCAGGAGAATGAAGGAAATAAAGATTAGAGCAGAAATAAATGATATAAAAACTAAAAAAAAACCCAGTAGAATAGATCAATGAAACCAGGAGCTGGCTCCTTGCAAATAATCAAGAAAATTAATAAGCCTCTAGCCAGACTTACCAAGAAAAAAAAGAGAAAGGACTCAAGTAAATAAAATCACAAATGAGAGAAGAAAAATAATAACCAACACCACAGAAATACAATTATAAGAGAATATTATGAAAAACTATATGCCAACAAATTGGACAACATAGAAGTGGATAAATTCCTAGAAACATATAACCTACCAAAACTGCTGCAGGAATAAACAGAAAATTTGAACAGACCAAATACCAGCAAAGAAATTGAATCAACAATCAAAAAACTGCTGGGGTGCCTGGATGGCTCAGTTGGTTAAGCATCTGCTTTTAGCTCACATTGTGATCCTAGAGTCCCAAGATGGCCCCAGGCTCCCTGCTCACTGGGGAGTCTGCTTCTCCCTCTCCCTCTGCCCCTCCCCTCACTTGTATATTCTATCTCTATCTCAAATAAATAAATAAAATCTTAAAAAAATCCCAAAAAACAAAAGTCCAGAGCCAGATGGCTTCACAGGCAAATTCTAGCAAACATTTAAAGAAGAGTTAATATCTATTCTTCTCAAACCTTTCTAAAAAAGTAGAAAAGGAAGGAAAACCCAAACTTATTCTATGAGGTCAGCATTATCTTGAAACCAAAACCAGACACCACAAAAAAAGAGAACTACAGGCCAATATCCCTGATGAACGTAGATGCAAAAATCCTCAACAAAATACTACCAGACCAGGCAGCCGGGGTGGTTCAGCGGTTTAGCGCCGCCTCCAGCCCAGGGCCTGATCCTGGAGACCCGGGATTGAGTCCCACGCCGGGCTCCCTGCGTGGAGCCTGCTTCTCCCTCTGCCTGTGTCTCTGCCTCTCTCTCTCCCTCTCTGCATCTCTCTCTGCATCTCTCTGTGTCTCTCGTGAATAAATAAATAAAATATTTTTAAAAAATACTACCAGACCAAATCCAACATTTCGTTTTAAAAAACCATTCACCACAATGAAGTAGGATTTATTCCTAACTTGCAAGGGTGGTTCAATATTCACAAATCAACATGACACATCACATCAATAAGAGAAAGGATAAGTATCATATGATCATTTCAATAGATGAAAAAAAAAGCATTCAACATACTGGAAGTACTAGCCACAGTGATCAGACAACAAAAAGAAATAAAAGGCATCCAGATCAGTAAGGAAGAAGTAGAACTTTCACTATTTGAAGATGACACAATTGAGACTCTAAAGACTCCACCAAGAAACTACTAGAACTGATAAATAAATGCAGTAAAGCCACAGAATACAAAATCATTGTACAGAAATCTGTTACAGGGACGCCTGGGTGGCTCAATGGTTGAGCTTCTGCCTTCAGCCCAGATCATGATCCCGGGATCCCGGGATAGAATCCCACATCGGGCTCCCTGCACGGAGCCTGCTTCTCCCTCTGCCTGTGTCTCTGCCTCTCTCTGTGTGTCTCTCATGAATAAATAAATCTTTTTTTTTAAAAAAAGAAATCTGTTACATTTCTATATACCAATAATGATGTGCAGAAAATGAAATTAAGGCAACAATCCCATTTACAATAAATAATTGATTAATTATCCCAAAATAATAAGATACCTAGGAATAAATCTAGCCAAATAGGTGAAAGACTTGTACTCTGAAAACTATAAAACACTGATGAAATAAATTGAAGATGACAAAGAAATGGAAAGACATCCCATACTCATGGTTTGGAAAAATAAATATTGTAAAAGTGTCTATACTGCTCAAATCAATCTACCCATTTAATGCAATCTTTATCAAAATACCAAGAATATTTTTCACAGAACTAGAACAAACAATTATAAAATTTGTATGGAACCACTAAAGACCCCAAATAGCCAAAGCAATCTTGAAAAACAAAAGCAAAGCTGGAGGCATCACAATTCCAGAACTTAAGTTAGGTTGTTAAGATTATAGTAATCAAAACAGTATGGTTCTGACACAAAAATAGACACATAGATCAATAGAACAGACTAGAAACTGCAGAAATAAGCCCACTATTTTATGGTCAATTAATCTTTGACAGAGAAGGAAAGAATATCCAATGGAGAAAAAAGTCTCTTCAATAAATGGTGTTGGGAATACTGGACAGCAACATGCAAAAGAATGAAACTGGACCCCTTTTGGCAGCATACACAAAAATAAATTCAAAATTGATAAAAGACCTAAATGTGAGCTATGAAACCATAAAAATCCTTAAGGAAAGTACAGGCAGTAATCTGTCTGACACTAGTCATAGCAACTTTTTTCTAGATAGGTCCCTGACACAAGGGAAACAAAAGCAAAAATAAACTATGGGGATAAAATAAAAATCAAAATAAAAAGCTTCTGCACACCTGAAGATAAAATCAACAAAACTAAAAGGCAACCTACTGAATGGAAGAAGATACTTGCAAATGACATATCCAATAAAGGGCTAGTATCCAAAATATATAAATAACTGATACAACTCAACACCCAAAACACAAATAATCCAATTTAAAAATGGACAGAAGACATGAACAGACATTTTCCAAAGAAGACATCTGGATGTCTAACAGACACATGAAAAGATGCTCAACATTACTGATCATCAGGGAAATGCAAACCAAAACTACAATGAGATATCATTTCACACTTACGGTTAAAACCGAAAACGCAAGAAACAAGTGTTGGAGAGGATGTGGAGAAAAAGGAACCCTCTTGCACTTATGGCGGGAATGCAAACTGATGCAGCCACTGTGAAAAACAGTATGGCGGTTCCTCAAAACATTAAAAATAGAACTATTCTGGGACTCCTGGGTGGCTCAGTGGCTAAGCAACTGCCTTTGGCTTAGGGCGTGATCCTGGAGTTCCGGGATTAAGTCCCACATCAGGCTCCTTGCATGGAGCCTCCTTCTCCCTCTGCTGTGTCTCTGCCTCTCTGTGTGTGTGTCTCTCATGAATAAATAAATAAAATCTATTTAAAAAATAGAACCATTCTATGATCCAGTAATCATACCACTATCCCACTGGATATTTACTCCAAAAATACAAAAACACTAATTCAAAGGGATACGTGCATCCCTATGTTTATACTGGCATTATTTACAATAGCCAAATTATGGAAACAGCCCAGTGTCCATGAATGGATGAATGGATCAAGAAGATGTGGCATTTATATGCAATGGAATATTACTCAGCCATAAAAAAGAATGAAATCTTGCCATTTGTAATGACATGGATGGAGCTGGAGAGTGTAATGCTTTTTGTTGTTGTTGTTAGAACAACTCTGCAAAATAAAATTCCGGTTTATTGTTGGACAACATTGTTTCACACATATATCAAACAGGCCAAAAAAAAATAAACAGCAACTTCACAGACAAAAAGGGAAAAAAAGAAACCTTTTATCTTTGGCCTTTTTAACCATCTCATACAAACCAACTACTTAGAGTACAGCTAAGTACATACACAAAAAAAGTTACTAGAATGCTCGGAATAAGGTTTTTTGTTGTTGGTTTTGCTTTTTTTACAAGGTCTTTTTTCTCCTTTGAGATTATAATGAACATGGTCACACCACCACAAGTAAAGTCAGAAGTAGGACAGAGAACGCTCTGAAGGCTGGTTTGATCATCCAAGATCGTTAAAAATGGCTGGTCCCCAACAACATGTACAAAAATATAAAATGTAAATAAAAAATACAAATTTCCTTTTTTAAAGTACTTTTAAGAAAAAAAAAGCAGGGCCTTGGAAGCTTTTGTTTCTTTTTTCCTCCCCTGTTGCAAATTCACATTGTGGTTTTTGGTTGGGTGGCGAGAGTGTGTGTCATCTGCGGGTGGCGCTGCCCTTGTTGGGCAGGCAGGCGGGATTCTACTCGAAGGCGACCACGTTTAGATTCTGAGATGGGAAGTGGAGGGTGAATAGGTCACGGTGGTCTCTTTTTTGTTGTTACGTTTAACTTTTCTTTTTTTGCTGTCTAGTCATCCTCATCAGTCTTCTGCTTCTTGGTGTTGACATTGTCATCCTCATCATCTTCAGTGGACCATTTGCCCGTAGCTGCCTCGGCCTCCTCATCTTCATCTCCATCTTCTTCCTCTCCATCACCTTCCTCCTCCTCTTCCTCCCCTCCTTCCTCCTCTTCATCTACCTCATTGTCAGCCTCCTGTTCCCCATTTTCCTCATTAGCATTCCCATTAGCAGGTGTGTCTCTTCCATTCTCTGCCTCCTCCGCAACTGCCTTCTTTTCCTTGAAGTCCTTGGTGGTGATCTCGGAGCTGGTGTCCTTGGCTGGGGCACGCTGGTGATCCGTTGCAGCGGACTGAAAAGAGAGCAAGAGTTCGAGGACTCCAGCGAGAAAGCTGCGGGAGGCCACGGGGCGGAGGTGGTTGCGGTGAACTGGGAGCCCGACTGGGAGCAATACAAAGATGGCTTTTCAGAGGAGCCAGTGGGGGCCAGAGAGTGTAATGCTAAGCAAAATAAGTCAGTCAAAGACAATAACAACACAATTTCACTCATATGTAGAATTTAAGAAACAAAACAAAGGAATAAAGGGGGGGAAAGAGAGAAAGAAACAGACTCTTAACCACAGAGAACAAACTGATGGTTACCAGAGGAGGACTAGGTGGCAGGATGGGTGAAATAGGTGATGGAGATTAAGGAGTGCCCTTGTCCTGATGAGCACCGAAGGACAGAAATAAAACATTCAGGGAGCCTGAGTGGCTCAGCTGTTGAGCCCGTCTGTGTTTGGCTCAGGGTGTGATCCCAGAGTCCTTGGATCGAGTCCCACATCTGGCTCCCCGCGGGGAGCCTGCTTCTCCCTCTGCCTGTGTCTCTGCCTCTCTCTCTCTCTGTGTGTCTCTCATGAATAAATAAATAAATAAATAAATAAATAAATAAATAAAACCTTTTAAAAATAAAATAAAATAAAAATAATTCAAATAAAAAATAAATGGAATATCAAAAAAAAAGTTTCTCAATTTAAATGCCAATATCTTACTTAAGGATAAGACACTGAGAGCATTTCCTTTAAAGTTGGAGGTAAAACAAGAACTCCCCCTACAATCAGCATTATTAACATTTTCTAGGAATGCTATCAATGAAATACAAAAAATTAATTAGAAAAATGATTAGAAAGGATACATAATTATAATTCTTATTAATTATATGTTTGTCTTCTTAGAAATGCCAATATAATCAATCAACTGAAAATCTAAGAAAGTGGCTGTATATAAAAAAAAAATCCACAGCCTTCCCAGGTAACAGCAATAACCCATGAGAAAATATGATATATGAAATAATCGGAAATAATCTCACTAAGAAGTACATAAGACCTATTCAAAGAAAACCTGAGAGATTTTAAATAAGCTGAGAGATTTTAAAAATTAGAATAAATGGAGAGATGTACAAAGTGCCTCAATAATAAGCATAAGGCTGATCATCATAAAGATGTTGGTTCTTGGGATGCCTCAGTGGCTCAGTCAGTTAAAGCATCTGCCTACAGCTCAGTTCAGGATCCTAGGGTCCTGAGATTGAGCCCCATGTTAGGCTCCCTGCAGGAAGCCTGCTTCTCCCTCTCCCTCTGTCTGCTACTCTCCTTCTCTCTGTCAAATAAATATAAATATAATTAGTTAATTAATTAAAATGTTTTTTTAGAAAAAGATGTTGGTTCTTCCCTAAATTATATCTGTAAGACAATTTCAATCAAATTGATAGAGGAGAAATTAATTTTTCTATTGGAAAAACAAAATAAAGTAAGAACATTTTTTCAAAGTTGATATCAAAATGAACTCCAAATGTATTCAAGAGTTAATTTCCTTTGTGAAAAAAAAACCTGTAAGAATATTTAAAGCATTGTAAATATAAGGTGGAATATCAATCTACTGTCAGGATAATAAAGGACTTTCCAGCATAAAAGCAATGGGGGAGAAAAGGAAAGTATTGATAGTTAAATACATAAAGGTCACAAGAAAGATAATAAACAAAATGAAAACAGGAAAGATTTCAACAAATACGATGGATAAAGCATTCATATAGCAGGACTCTTACTGAACAAAGAACATAAACAGATAAGTCACAAAATAAGATACACAAATGGTCACTCAGCATGTGAAAATAATATTGAGGCTTATCATGATCTAAGAACTAATCAGATCATCTCCTAAAACTCTTGTCAGCACTGAATATTACCTATTTCCTCTCCTTTTTTTTGTTAAACATTTGTCGGTTTGATAGGAGAAAAAAGAATAATAATCTATCTCATGCACTGCTGGTTGGAGTATAATATGGTATAACTTCTGTAAAACAACTTATCAATATGTATCAAGAACCTTTAAAAATGTTTCTGTTCTTTTACCCAGAAATTCCTTTTCCAAGAATCTGTCTTAAGGAAATGATCAGATAAATGGACAGATATTAGATATTTATGTTTAAATTAGGATGACATTGTAATTTTTCCTCCAAACCAGAATACTTTTGGGAGTTAAATAAGGCATTGTTATAATTATGTTATAACATAATTGTTAATAATTATTCCAGGACAACAGATGTTTAACAGGGCTAGTCCCAGGGAAATTGGGTCATATGGTCATAAATAGTTTAAAGCCAGGGATTGCTGCATTAGAAGAAGCTTAAAACATACAAAGAAAGTGCAAAGGTTAAATAATAGTGCATCCATATGATAGACTAGTCTGGAACTAATTAAAAATCATGTTTCAAAATGCATTTAAATATAATGCTGTGTGTATTTTTAAATTAGGATAACAAACCCTATCTAGTGTGATTCCAAGTGTCTAGGAGTGCCTCACTGGCTCAGTATGCGACTCTTGATCTTGAGATTGGGAGTTCCAGCCATTGGGTATAGAGGTCACTTAAAAATAGAATCTTAAAAAAAAAAAGTAGTTTAGTTCCTTGGGGCACCTGGCTGGCTGAGTCAGAAGACTCTGTGCAGCTCGTGAGTTCAAGCGCCACACTGAGTGTAGAAGTTACTTAAATAAATAAAACCTTTTGTAAAAAGTGGCTAAATACCTTTATGGTGTAGAATGTAAACATTCCTTAATTACCTATCCAACATCTCACCCCCTTGTCCTCTTCCTAAAAGCATCCCCATTTCCCCCTCTCCTCTTGGCAGTATCTGTGCATGGATGGATAGTATTAAGCCTAAGTCAAGAGCCCAAGGCAGTCACCCAGCAGCAGTTATTGCCTCATATTGGTCCAGTTGGAGGAAAACTTCAAAGCCTGCTGTGAGTCCCCAGAAGCTATGTGCCTTTTCCTTCAAGATTTGAGCCATGAGGGAAGCTGGCCCCTTAAAGAGAGCAGCCAAGAGACTTTCAGAGAAATTTAGCTAGAATCTGATCACATGATGCTAGAAGCCTTCATTGCATCTAGACTTTTAATTAACAGGAACCAAAAGACATTTTTAAAGCCAGTTTTCAGTGATGTTTCTGTTACTTGCAACCAAAAAATCCAAAATGACATAAATACATCATAGTAGTCTTCAACCTGAACTGTACATTAAACTCACCTAGGGAGCTTCTAAGAATACCCATGCCTAGATCTCATACCCAGAGATTGACTCAAATGTTCTGGGTGTGGGATCCTGGCACTGGTATTTTTTTTTAAACCTTCCCCTGGTGATTTTAATATGCAGTGAAGGCCAAAGACTATGAATATATTATACAATATACATATTAGGTATATATAAAAGGTTGGAAGAAAAATACATCAAACAGTTAAGAAAGATAATTCCTGAGTATTGAGACTGCAGGTTTTTTGTTTTTGGTTTTGGTTTTGGTTTTTTTTTTAGGCAATGAAACAATGATCCTAGTTCTATAGAAGTATCATCTGTCTAAAAAGCATGCTATACAGGCTAGAAATGGTCAAGAATATACAATCTATGTGTGGCATCTCCATGGGCAGGTTTTACCTATGGTATATGCATACATAAATGTTTAATATAACAGGATTTTTATTATATGCAACTGTCATAGCAAATAATAATTCTCTTTGTATCTAGTTCCAAAATATAAATGTTTTTTATTAATACTCTATGTATTCCAGTGTTTATTTGTAAAATAGAAATTTGTTTAGAGAATATAGAAAATTCATATACACATCATAGATCTACAAATAACTTATAGTGTATATTTTATATAGATTTATTCTTATTTTATAAATTTATAACTTTTATAAATATGATTTGTAATATAGTTTTTTATAAAGTATGAATTTTGCAAATATAAATGTATTTCACAATATAGATAGCATATAGCTTATTTTTAGAATAAATTTCTGAATATAATTTCTAAAATAAATTATTTTATAAATGGTTACTAGAAGAGGGAGAAAGGAGATTATTTTGAGGCATTTCTTTTTGGATACGTGGTTTCCCATTTTGATCTCCAGAAATGAAAGTTTTGATCACTAAGAAAAGAAGAGCCTCCTCATTGTGTATGCTTCAGTGAAGTGCACACCTGATGAGCTCACAAAAGTTTTAAAGCCATCAAAACTAGATTCACTGCAGAGACTCACTAAATAACAGATGAATGTGAAACTGAGGCACCTGTTACTATATTTAACTGCTCTGTTCCTTGCACACGTTCTAATAGTTGAGCCTTTTTCAATTTGCAGTAACAGAAGCAATACCAACACATATAAGGCAGGATAATATCTCATCACTTCTCTACAATTTTGAAGCTCGTTAAAAATTATATTGTCCAAAAAAAATTATATTGTCCAAATTATCCAGCAATTATTTTTGTGGTGCATCCATAGAGTGAGACATATTCTGATAGCATGTCAACCAAGTGTCAGGCCTTGTGAAGGATACTTGGGAATTATTTAAACCATTCTGTTCAGTTGGCCGGGTTTATTTTCTTATAAGTTTTTTTTTTAATTGACCATAAACATTTGCTATTTATGAAGGCTCCTTCTGGTTCATCAGATCAGGTCACCAGCACAGGTGCTTGACTTGCTGGGTGTTTATTCAATATAGTCAACAATTATCAAGTTATTTAAATGGGAGCTATGGAGAAAGACATCTAGGATAAAGAAAGACTTGCTTCACTCTACTTCCAATTATAATTTAAACTGGCAGGTATTTTTACCCACTCTGATTCTTATAGAATTGTCTCCTTTATTTTTTCAAGAAATTCAAAATGTCCATAAAACTTCAGAAGATAATATAACAAATATATATATTTCCATTATACAAAACTGAGGCCATTAATATTGTCATCATGCTTCAAGTTTTTACACACACACATGCACAGAATGTTGCACTGCAGCCACTTCACATTTAGTGTCAAAAGCTGTTTGTTAAATTTTCAGCAATTTTGAGAGCTGATTGCTAAATCTTTGGTAGCTTAAAATTGGCGATGGTGGGAGTATCATTCCTTGGAAATCCACCAATGCCATAAATCAAGGTTTTTTTGATTCCTGGAGAGCTAACTGTTAAACATTTATCAGCACACTAGTGCTCATATATAAAAGAGAGAAAAGCAGGCTCCCTGCATGAAGCCTGCTTCTCCCTCTGCCTGTGTCTCTGCCTCTCTCTCTGTGTGTGTCTCTCATGAATAAATAAAATTAAAATATTTTTAAAAATCATAACAAATAAATAAATAAATAAAAGAGAGAAAAGCTTACAGGTAAATTTAGTTCATCTTGGCCCACACTCGCAATCCCATTATCTTCCCCCCTCCTCAGAGGCAATCACCATCATAAATTTGGTGCATTATTCCAGAACATGGTCTATACTTTATTTTTCTTTAAGATTTTATTTATTTATTCATGATAGACACAGAGAGAGAGGCAGAGACACAGGCAAAGGGAGAAGCAGGCTCCATGCAGGAGCCTGATGTGGGACTCGATCCCAGGACTCCAGGATCACACCCTGGGCCAAAGGCAGGCACTAAACCACTGAGCCACCCAAGGATCCCCGGTCTATACTTTAAATGTATTCACATGCATCCATGAACAACAGAGTATAGTTTTGGTGTATTTTAAAATGTACATATACTGCAATTCACATCTTCTCTTGACATTTTGTTGCAAATGGATCTAGATCATTCTTTTTATCTACTATTTAGAAGTCAACCATCTAAACATACCTGATGTTATCTATACGTGATTCTCTTAGTGGACACCTAGGTGGTTTCCAATGTTTTACCATTAGAAACGATGCTAAAATGAATGGTCCTTGTTTACACACACACGTGTAAAGTTTCCCTGGGCTTATGTACAGCAGTATAATTGCTGGGTCGTATGCATGTTGTCAAGTTTATGAGATATTGCCAAATTGCTTTCTCAAGTATGCAAAGCCGGTTTATGCTCCTACTTAACAGGAGGGAATGTGAATCCTCTTTGCTCTACATTCTAGCCAACATTTGGTACTGTCAGACTTTAATTTCTGTCAGTCTGGTAAGTGTCAAATGACATCTCATTGTGATTAATTTTTGCTTCCTTGACTACTAATGCAGCTGCCACATTCTTTTTTCCAATTTGTCGGCCATTTGTGTTTCCTACTCTATAAATTCCCTTTCCTTTACTCGTTTTTCTTTTGGATTGCTTGCCTTCTTATTGATTTATAGGAGTTCTCAACACACTCTGGATACTAATACTGGTCTTTTCACTTTGTTTATGGTATGTTTTTGTCTTTTTGTTTTTTGGTGTTGGGGTGAGAGGCAGGTACATTTAGTCTCTGTGGGCTTTTTCAGGATGTAGTCTGTGGGCCTGGTGGTCAGAGAACGTGTTTTGCTTGCCCAGGGTGATAGCTAACCCAAAAGACATAGTTTCCAAGGCCAGAACTTCTGGCTGGCAGATCTAGAAACTATAGACTTACTATCTGCTCCAGCCAAACTGAAGGTTTTTTTCAATTGCTCCTCATTTTCTTCCCTCTAGGCCCTTTCACATGCTGTGGAATGCTCTGCAGTCTCACATGTGTGTCCCCAGAACACCTTCTACTTTCTCTCAATTAGCACTTACCACACTGCACTGCAGTAACCTGTTAGCTCATCTGTGTCCTCCACTAGACAGTGAATGCTGTGTGAGAAGAGAAGGGGTTTTTTTCTGCCTTTGTAGCCCCAGCACCCAGTGGAAGGCTATCAAGTCATTGCTAAAAAGCAAGTTTGTTGAATAAATGAGTGAGTGACTACAGTAAGACAGGGGCAGCTATATTGAAGGTCAGAAAATGTTTCATTTATTCACCCAACGACAACCGTCTAGCACTTGCAGAGTCCTGTTAGTGATATGGATGCTCCCCTCACCAAGCTCACAACCAGTTGAAAAAGACTTATAACTGCCAAGCACAGTCCACCAACCTAAGTGTCCTAATGGAGAGAAGCAAAGTAGTGTGAACATGCGGAGGAGGTACACGTATTCCAGCCAGCAAGTGGGAAGGAGTTTGGAAAAATATCTCTCTCGAAAATGGCGATAAGCCAAGAAGAGATGATTATTTAATAATTAGTCCTTTAATTAAAGTGTAAATGAAATCCTCTCCAGCAATCCCAGGGCTTTCTATTTGGTTTTCTTAGAGTATGTCAATAAATTAGTTTGACCAGGTGGTGTTTTTCTTCCCCTGGGTCCAGGTTACAGCAGTACCTATCAGGGAATTCCCAGTACATACCCAGCCATGCACCTCTGCTTTGCTCCTTGAGTAACAGAGCAAAGACTGTTATTCTCGTCCTCACCCCCAAACCTGGACTCTCCACTAACCCTCTGCAGCCCTCTCTTGCCTCCAGGCTAAAATGAACACAGTTGCCCCACTACGATCTGTTCCCTTTCCGTGTTTCCTTGGTGGCAAGTATGTACTAGGCACTGACTATGCCCTGAGAACTGAAGAATAAGTAGAAGTCAGCCATCAAGAATCTCAGGGAAGAGCTTTCCGAGCAGAGAAAAGAGCGAGTGCCAAATCCTCATGGTGAGATAAAGTCTGGAATGCTCTAGAAATTGATAGAAAGCCAGAGAATAATAAGTGATGGTAGCGTAGTACAAGATGATGCTATAGGGATGGGCAAGAGAATGCCACTGGCAGGTTTAAAGTAAGGACTTGATAGGTTTTCCACTACTTAAAAAAAAAACAAAACTTCTATGGCATCTATCAGTTCTCCCCATAAAGGTGGGGTTGAATAAAGTGTGTCACCTAGTCCTTAGGGAGGATCTATATCCTTAGGGAGGGCCTGTGCACAGTTGGGGATTTCCAGGAGAAGCCCATAGAAAATAAAATTCTAGGGGATGGTCAAAGGAAGACAGCAGTCTAAGGAAAGCAACGTTAGAAAGCCCAAGATGAGGAGACTGAGGGACAGGCTGCTCAAGCTCTATCATCCTCTCTCTCTGACCCTGGTTCATCAGCTCTTCCTGAACCACATTGCAGAGCTTATTCCAGTCTCTATCCCCAGAGTAATCAGCATCCAGGCATTGAGGCCCAGATTGGGCCAAAGTGACATACACAGATTGGAGCAAGCACAAGTTTCTTTGTGAGTTGCTGTCTGGGACTCAGGTGTGCACACCTGCAGGGGAACACTCTGCACTCCCAGGGCAAGGGACAGCCTGC